AAATCCATGCTTTTGTGCAGAGGGACTGCCTATTTTTACCCATCTCCCCTCTCACCCTGTCTTCTGAAACGTGCTGTTGTTGCTTCTCTGATTAGTGTTCTGCTCATGCACCAATAAAGACCAGTGAGGGCTTTGAAAGATGAACCCAACTCCTCCTCTTCCAAAGGGGAAATGGTGAGACTTTACAGGGATTGGGAACAGAAGGACCTCCGCTCCCTGAAATTGTCCTGTGACGACCAAATGCTGCAGCTCAGGAAGAGACGCAAAATTCATCCCTGGGTAGAAAAGTCTGCCGTCTTCTCCAAGGTCCTGCCGCTTGACTATTTATCAAGGGCTGAAGGTTGTTGTTGTTATGTGCCATCGAGTCGCTTGCAACTCATAGCGACCCTATGTAGAAGAGCTCTAAATGCTGTTCTATCCTGTGCCAACCTAGCCATCTCAAACGCACTTATTCCCACCGCTCCAGTCACAGAATCGATCCATCTCACCAAAGGTCTTCCTCTCCTTCGCTTCCCCTCCACTCTGCCAAACATGATGTCCCTGACCAAGGACCAGTCCCTCCTTGCAACATGCCCAAAATACGTCAGTCAAGGCTTCAGAATCCTTGACTCCAGGGAACACTCTGGCTTCACCTTCTCTAGGACAAACCTGTTTGTTCTCCTAGCAGTCCATGGTATATTCAACACTCTTCTCCAGCACCATAGCTCAAAGGCATCAATCCTCTTTCTATCAGCCCTATTCACTGTCCAACTCTCTGATGCATAGCACATAATCGCGAAGATTATAGCCCGCATCAGGTGCACCTTAGTCTCCAGCCTGACTGTTCAATAACGGAGAAAGACATCCCAGGTGACCACTTCAGAAAGGTGTGAGGTTTTCACCTGCCTTAACTTCCCCAAGACCAAACCCACTGCTGGTGGATTGATTCTAACTCTTCGCCATCCTATAGGACAGGGTGGAACTGGGCCACCTCCGGGCTCCCCAGGGTGTAATCTTTATGGAAGCAGATAGTCAGGCATTTCTCCAGTGAAATTCTTGGTGTGTCGGAACCCGCCAACCTTTCAGTTCACAACTAAGCACTTAACCACTGTGCCACCAGGGCCCCTTCATCATCTGTCTAAAGGGGGTGCCTTTTTCCTAATTCTCATAAAGCAGTATAGTTTTTAGCAGCTGGCTCTGCAGATCTGTCTACAATTCTCTAATCTATTTGGACTGAATTAATTAAGCTGTCCTTACAATCCAGTCTGCTTTTCCAGTCTATGCTATAAGCCAGGAGTTGTTAAACGTCAGAGAGCATCAGAGTCAGCTGGAGACTCCTTACTGCCGGGCTGCTGGGCCACCCTCCCAGAGATCCCTATGCGCTAGCTGTGCACTGAGACTGGGGGATTTGCAACCCAAATATGCTGATGGGGTGGGTCCTGACCTCCCTTTGAGAACCAGGCAGGAGATTTTTCCAGGCTTACTAAGGAGAACAGGAGAACGCTGTGGATCCTATTTACCAACTGGACCATGCCCACAGCCTGCAGCATGCAGTACACTGCCTGAAGGGTTTCCAAGGCCCTGATCTTTAGGACAGATCGCCTCGGGGCGGCTGGTGGTTTGAACCATTGACTCTTTGGTTAGGAGCCTGATGCCTAACCTCCAGTGCCACTACGGCTCCCAGCACTTATGCAGAGGATGGAATAAGCAACTTCCGGTGGTACCCAAACCAGTCATCACAGGGCTTCATTTATGCAGGACACACTCAAGCTTTCATAAGACTAATGACATTTCCAGCCTGGCCTCGAAATAAGAGGCTGTGAACAGTGTCGGATTACCCAACAAAGTAGGTACACAGTCAGTGCTCACGTGTGGCTTACTTTCTAATCCCTAGTGAACCATTTTGCATTTTCCCCCTAAATCAAAGATTCTGCTTCTAAGGTCTCGTTGATATCGTTTTTTTTTTTAAACTCCACAGCCTCTTCCTACAGAATCAAAGCATCTGTTTAAATTTACTTTATGATACAATCATTTTCACATTTACAATGTGGGTTTTGCAACAAGATGTGGGGAAAACACCTATGAAACTGTTTGCTACAGAATAGTGTTGCTGCTGTTGTGGTGTGTCTGGGAGTCAGTACTGACTCATAGCTGACTGAGAGGCAGTAAATCACATGGGAAGTGATGGCCCATCCTTGATCCGTGGAGCAGCTGGTAGATCTGAACCGAGTGCCTTGGGGATTGCAGTGTCACTAGTTTCATTAGGTGACCAGACCTTCCTACAGAATAGTAAGCAAGCACCAGTAAGTCTGTGCTTACCTTGCTTTTAAGGTACTCCCTCCTTGGGCAAGAGGACACTAGGTGGGCAGGGGTCACTCCCAAGGATTTGATTTAATGAGGGAGCTGGGGTTTTCCTTCCTCGGAGCTCAGCTGGAGGTGCTGGCCCGAGCAGTACATGAAACTGAGGGTGGCTCTCAGAGCCCTGGCTTTGTGAAAAGACTGCTTTTTTTGGTTGGGGCTGTGACAGCGTATGTAGGGTGGAGACACACTCTGGGAAATACAGGGCACCCTGTGATCTACAGCCCCGAACCAAGTACCACGTCCCCCTCCCCCCCACTCAGATACAGAAAGGCCTTTTGGTCAGTAGATTCCTCGAGCTGTTGTTCACTGTCTCCCCTTTGTCCATGTTAAGTAAACAGGGAGGTGTTCTTTTCTAAAGGAGTCCCGTAGGCTGTGCAAATGGCTAGTGAGTGCAGGTGTTAACGGAAAGGCTGGAGGGTCGAGTCCACCAGAGGCACCCTGGGAGAAAGACTTGGTGATTTCCTTTCAAAAGTCATTGGAAAAAAAAATTTAAAAAAAAAAAAAAGTCATTGGAAACCCTGGGGAGTAGATGCATGGGGTTGCCATTAAGTCAATATGGATCTTCTGAAAGTGATCGAGAATAAAGATCATTTTCCTTTGAAACGCATCTTTGGGCCCTGTCATAGTCTGAGAATTTGCTGTTGGTTCTTTTTCTGGGGGTATGGCATGAAAAATCCTTGTTGCCTCTTTGCCCCAGGCTCCAGTGAAGTAGAAGAAATCTACCCCCAATATTCCCACCTTTCATTCACAATATGAGCTCCTCAGAATCTTTTTTCTTTCTAGTCATGTCCCTAATCAAACCCTCTTTTCTGATAAATATACTTGGCAGGTTTTGAACCTGTTGATTGGTCCCTGACTACCCTTTTGGATGCGGCTTCCCCCTGCCCCCACCGAAAAGCCCTCTGTGATATTTTTCTGGTAGTTTAAAGAAATCTGTCAAAATGACCTGTGTCTTGGCCTTCAAAGTGGCACATTTTTGGTGCTTCACATTGCAGTCCTCTTACCAAACTTCTGATAAGTTTGAGCCATTATTCTTTGACCATTTTGTTGATATTTCCATGGTACTGCGTTTCCATGGAGACTCTGATTCATGCTCCCCAGAATAACAACCAGGATTACCTGCTTTAGGATTGCGAAGCGGTCATGGAACATTTCCATCCCCATGGCTCGCTAGAGATGATTGCCAATGGCCCAGTCTTAGGGAGACTTGATGACAACATGGCCTGATGGTAATATCCTTGTTGCATGACTTCAGTGTCCTGGGTGTGTGATGACAGATGCTAAATGCTGATCTTTGAAAAAAAAATTTTCCCCTAAAAGTCTGCATTTGGACAAACCCAGAAAGATGCATTTGCTCTCAAAAGGTGCAGATAGGAGGAAAATTATAAAACAAAACCCAAACAAATCCTGTAGCCTACAAAACCATCCCTTTTTAAAATTACTGACATTTTAAATTTTACAAAAGTTCAGTAAGTCCTTGGGTTACCAAAGTTTCTGGAATGATATGTAAAAGCAACCTTAATCTGAAACTGTTGAATCAACCTCTGCTTCCATCAAATTCTTCAGTCCAGTCACCTTCATTTGCTAGGTGGGTAGCTCTGAGATCACTGGAAAGGCTTTGAGCTTCTTCTTGTAATAAAGTAAGGATAAATATGAATTTAATCTCACTTTACAACTTAAAGATTCAGGAACCGGTCCCATTTGTAATCCAGGGACTGCCTGTTCCAAGCCTTTTAAAATGTGGCTCGGAAAAAATAAAAAGAAAAAATATGTGGTTCGGAAACATTCCGAAGGGCATTCACTGTCTTGGCCCATTCTGTCCAGTGTATCCTTTTACTTTAAATCTGATGCCTTCTGTTAAGAAGAGTGGAGAATTTGGTGGAACAATGACTGAAGTGCACCAAAATGTAATCTAGGTTACAGTCAGGACAAATTCAATGTGACTTAGGAAAAGGCCAAGGAGGAGGGCATGTCATTAGACCATCGACCTGAAAATCAGATCTGACCTAAGGCCCCAGGAGGGTCTGTTCATTGCTATTTATAGTTGAGGACATTCACCCTCTGAGGACTGATTCTGTGAATACAGAGAATTCGAGGGGAGGAGGCACTAAAGCCGAGCATCTGGGATAGGGGCCTTCATCTATCATGGGATCAAATAGAATTTGGGTTCATTTACTGGAAATGTACAGAACTTGTTTAACTCTTCCCAAATCAAATGGAGACGTCAGAACGAGAGACCCCGTTTGGATTATCAGGGCACCATATCTCTGCCCCTGAATTCTCGCAGAATCTGTTTTAGGGGATGGATTGTTTGAAGTGTTCTCTGAATCGCTCAGAGCACTGTTTTCCCTTGATAGGACAGCTTTGATCTTGATTTGAACTTTGGGAAAAAGTCAGGTGGAGTTGAAATCCAGCCAATAGAGAATTCTGACGTATCAAGCATGCAAGCATAAAACACACCGAGACCCTACTTGGTCAATATTTGTGATTATTATAGACCAAAGCTTCTGTACCTACGCTCTTTTTCATTGCGCTTTGCAGACAGGAAGCCCTGTATCGTTACCCTTCTAGATAGTGGTGATTGAAGCCAGATGGGCTGAAAGCCCAAAGCAACACGTTAGGAAGCTGTTCTACAAGTTATTTTTGGGAAGTTAACTTACCATACCACTCATCAACCCACGCAAAAGCCTGTCTATGTCCAATCAGCAGAATGTCTCGGACCACCTGGAAGACAGAAGAGGGGAGAAATCATACCACGTTTGACTGAGACCATCTGGCAAACAGGTTGCCCAGTTCTGGGAATGTTGGAGATTATGAATTCCTCAGTCCCTTCTCCATGTGCGAGGACCATTACAGGCTGACACACACACACACACACACACACACACACACTGAGCCCGTGCATGCCTCGCTCCTTCCATGGCATGCACGCACATGTCCTTGCTATAAACGAATCTCTTCGTTTTATTTGAAAGGCAAGCTGAGAGCCTGTGCCAGCTAGAGCTGACGTCCTGGCAGTCACCCAGCGGTGGAATTCATCTGCAGGCTTATCACCTTGAGACTTTCCTTTTCCTTTATCTTGAACTAAAACAGCTTCTGCTTTGTATTTGATGAAGGGTGTGTCTCATGGACTCTGGGAGGGCATAGATGTGGGGAACCAAGAACATACGTTTTGGACCAGGAGATTCCTTCTAAGGAAAGAACATTTAATATACTTTCTCTTCTCTGCTGAAACATCCATAAAAACTAGGTTAAAGTTTTGCTTTTCTTTAAACGGAATGTGAGTGTGAAGACAAGATAAAATCTCAGTAAATATCCTACTAGACTTGACTTTTTTTCTCTCTGATGAATATTTGTGTAATACACAAATTGCAAATACTATTTCGTGTAATAATAATTTAGTCAGCAATTATTAAAAGAGATGACAGAAGAGGCCTAAACTAGAGGAGGACATAATGAGATTAATAAGCCTGACTGGAGAGGAAGAGGCATGAAATTATTTTTCTATGGTAGCACATAATGACAACAGAAGACCAAGAAAGAGAATGCACTGGGGTGTGTGTGTCGATATAATACTATTCATGAGCTTTTCTTTCACTGAATTCTCTTTTGCCCTGTATAAATATGCTTTATGCTCTTCAGATACTTACAGTCTCCCTCCAAAATTCACCCCCTCTCCCCAAACCTCCTTTTCTCCTCCCCCCACCCCCAAATAAATCTAGCAATTGTCAAAATCCTCTTGAGGAAGGTTCAAGTCTGTGTCGATAAAGGAAAGATTTTAATTTGGCAAATTTGGAGAGAGCACAGAAGCATTCCAGATGAAGTGTTTATTACCTCAAGTCTTGTCTAGTGAGGCTTTTACGCATTGGAAGAAGGAAATACATAATGAAAATGAGAAACAACATGCAAGTCGTACACACACGAGTGCTGAGTATGTCGAATTCATGGAAATGGAAAGAACAGCATCAGTCATCAGTACCTCCCCTCTGCTACATTAAGAACAACACAGCTGTCTTCTGGAAACAGGAACTCAATAATGTGCTAATGGCTTTCGAACATCCTCCCCCTTCAACTGTGAATAGATTCTTCAAAAACAAAGGTGTTTGCAGAAGGACAGTCCCTAGCACTTCCCATCCACGCAAATGCTCGCCTCAGAGGCTCGTTAGAGACCCGCCAGAGCAGGTGTGGTTTTGAGGGCATTGATGACACTTCTTTACAGTTGGAAATGGGCAGTGGGAACGCCTCCTACAGGAACATGGTTCTCACAGATAGTTTAAAACACATAATGGAATGAATTTCAAAATGGTCCAGAATCACTTGTGAAAAAAGAAAGAAAAACACAAAAAACAAATCCCCAAAACCTTAATGGCAGGTCTACAGTTGTTGTTATGTGCCGTCGAGTCGTTTGCGACTCATAGCAACCCTATGTACAACAGCCCTAAACTCTGCTCTGTCCTGTGCCAATTGCACTGTCTCCGACACTCCCATCCCGATTACCCCAGTCACTGAATCAATCCACCTCATAGAGGGCCTTCCCCTTCTGTGTCGTCCCTCCACCCTCCCAAGCATGATGTCCCTCTCCAAGGACCGGTCCCTCCTTACAACATGTCCAAAGTATGTCAGACTGAGCCTCAGAATCCTTGCCTCCAGGGAGCTGCCCCATTTGACCCTTTCCAGGATGAATTTGTTTGTTTTCTTTGCAGTCCATGGTACATTCAATACTCTTCTCCAGCACCACAGCTCAAAGGCATCAATTCTCCTTCTATCCTCCTTAGTCACTGTCCAACTCTCTGATGTATAACAAGTGATAGCAAAGACCATGGCCTGTATCAGATGCACCTTAGTCTCCAGAGAGACACCATTGCTCTTCAGTACTTTGGAGAGGTCCCTAACAGCAGACTTTCCCATCACAATACATCTTTTAATTTCCTGGCTACTGGTGCCAAGAGTGTTGACTGAGGAGCCAAGCAAACTAAAGCTGTGAACAATCTCAATCTCTTTACCATCCATCCTGATGCTGCCGATTGGCCCAGTGGTGAGAATCTTTGTCTTCTTGACATTGAGCTTCAATCCATATTGGAGGCTGCAGTCCTTGACCCTCTGCAGCAAGCGCTTCAGGTCCTCCTCAGTGTCAGCAAGCAGGGTTGTGTCATCTGCATAATGCAGATTGTTGATGAATCTTCCACCAATCCTGACACCACACTTCTCCTCATAGAGCCCAGCCTCTCGGATAATCTGTTCTGCATACGGTTTAAGTGGTATGGAGACAGGACACATCCCTGGCGTCTACAGTATAGACCTCTCTGTACAAAAACCTCAGACTTAGTGCCATTGAGTGGGTCCAGCCTCACATGGACCTTCCACTGAGCTTCTGAGGCTGTCAAGCGATGGGAGGAGAATGTGTATCTTTCTCCTGCCGAGAGACCTTGGTGGAAACAAACAGCCAGAAATGCACAGCTTTCTGGTTCGCTGTGCAGTACTCTACCGATTGCATCACCAGAGTTCCCCATGTTTGTACAGACAGAGAAAATAAAACACACTATGGACCTCTTACCAAAAAGAGGTCATCTGAGGTAAAAAAGATGCAAGAGGAAAAACATTGTGGAAACTGAGCAAAGACAGTCTTAGACAGACATGGTGCTGAAGCGGGGAACTCTGACCGTCTTCCTGCCCGATGATGGGGTCATGCCGGAAAACAGGAGGTTCCACGGCTTGATTCCTACAATTCTGCCCCCAGCCCACCCTGGCTGGGCACAATGGGAGTGGGAGCTCACAAGCAAACACTCAGTCGGCACTTATCTCTGTGGAAAAAAAGCAAACCTAAGTTCAAAGCTCTCCTATGTGCCCTTGGAGTCTGAGACTACGATGAGGCTAAATTTTGAGGGTTCTCAAGACACAGCTATTCTCTGGATGGAAACGTAAGATCTACTTGGTTATCGACTGGCCTCCAGATCAAGTGAACAAATGCAAGTTCCAAAGAGCTCAGCGTGCTAGGGTCCAGTCCCAACGCCCTCCAAAGCATTTCTGAAAGCTTCTCTGTGTCAGTGTTTAAATGGAAAAATAAACAGCTGGTTTTCTATCTGGAGTGTAGAGTCAACTTGGCAGCATTTCTTTTCACGAAAGCGGGAGGAGCTACACAGGGCACCTGCTCGACATTGTGCTTTCAACTTCTTCCCCCTACAAGGATCTGCAAGGAGGAAAGGCTCTGTAACGAAAGCAAGGAGCCAAGCTGTCACACGCCCCTGAGTGCTGAGACGTCAAATTCATGGAAACCAAGTGAAATGGCCAGCAGGCTGCAAGTCATATTAACGTTTACAAAAGTCAGTGGTTTAGCAGAACAGGACCTGACAATTGAAATCTCTGACTTGAGGTTGCTGCTGATAATTCGGGGGTACCAGGGTTATTAAACTTGCAGCAGTGCTGAGGTGCACAGTCTCATGGGACTCTGCTTTCCTGTTCTGTTTCTTGGAGCATCTGTTACTGTAGGTGCTTCCATTTGCAGGATCTTTTGAGTGAGAATTATCCCTGGCGGCTGCGCCCAGGTTAAGTCCTCTGGCCTCTTCCTAGTACTTCTCTGCCTTGAATTAGATTAGCCTCATGCCAGTGTAAGAATTATATTTCACCAATTCCCTGAAATATACTTACCCACAAAGGAGAGATGAAGCATCCAACCTCTATTACTAGGAGAAAATGAAAGCCATTCATAAGAGCAGTTTTCTAAGAGATGTGTTTTCTAGATGCTGACACCTTTGCAGTTGTTGTGAATCCTGTTCTCCGACTGAGCTGGTGACAGTCCTCATTATTCCATATTTGCAAACCCACCTATTCTCTAAAAGTGCTCGTGGGCACGTCTGTGGGTCTCAGTTGCGCCCCTGAGTAGAGGAGCAGAATTGTCCCAGCTGAACAGGCTGGCTGTGTGCTAATGAAATAAAATCAGTGTTCACGAGCAATTTCTAGAACAAAACTGCCGCGGACGCACCGCCAGGAACAGATGTGTGTTCACTCACCTTGTGCACAAATTGTTCCACTCTGGTCTGAAGTCCCCAGACCTCGAACTTCACGGTCACCAGCTTGTAGGAACACATGATGGGCTGATGACTGTCCCTCCAGCCTTCCCTTAACTGTCCCCGGCCTGTCTTCTCGGACTTGAAGTGTTTAGGATCCTAGGGAGAAAAAAAATAAAAGAAATGGTAACTTAAAAGTGCAGATGTTATTTTTAGGAACTGTCCAGAATAGGCAAATTCATAGAGACAGACAGTAGGGGCTTGACGTACGGGGAAAAAGGGAGTAATTTCTGAAAGGTGGAAAATGATCTGGTAGTTGAACATTGAGTTCCTATGTTGTTGTTGTTGTTGTTATTTACCTACCATCAAGTTGCAACCGACAGTAGGCAATAATACCATCATAATATGTTAAAATCAACCATACACTTGTAGTATTTCTATTAGGCCAGTAATAGATAACCAAGATATTCTTTACCCCTTAAGTAATAACTCCTCATTTCCTCCTCTCCCTAGTCCTGATAACCACTAGTAAACTTTGGTCTCCAGACAATTTCCTATTCTAGACTTTTCACTTAAGAAGGGCCATACATAATATTTGTCCGTTTGTGTCTTATGTCTTCTCTTTAGCTTAATGTTTTCTGGTATGGTATGTGTCAGAACTTTATCCCCAGGGAGCTCTCCATGGCCTAGTGGAAAGACACTGCACTGCAATCCCAGAGGTGCACTGTTCAAATCCCCCAGATGCTATGCTGGACAAGGAGGGACATTCTCCTCTTGTATCAGTCAGATCTGATTTGATGGTACACATACACAAAAATAATAAAATATTTTTTTTAAAAAAGAAAAAGGAAAAACAGAACTTTATCCCATGGCTGAAAACGATTTCATTGCATGTATATACCACATTTGCTTCTCCATTTATCTGTTCGTGGACACTGGTGGCTTGTTTCTAACTTTTGACTATTGTGAGTAACGTTGCAGTGAAGTGTCTGCCTGAATCTCTGCTGTTAGTTCTTTTGGGCAGATACCTAGGAATGGAATTGCTGGCTTAGATGCTCATTCAGAGGAGCTTTGGTGGCTTAGTGGTAAGGAGTTGTCAATTCAAAGGCACCCGGTTCGAACCCACCAGCTGTCCATGCAGAAAGATGGGCAAATTCCTTTCCATGTGATTTACTCTACACTCAGGGTATTGGCCATGACCTCTGGATTCTGAATGGAGAACCGCTGGCCATGGGCTTCAGTTCTGCTATTTCAGGCCTACCTGAACAGCAATTCTGTCCTTCTCAGCTTTGGGTAACCCCAGCACCTTAGCCCACCTCATCCTGTTTCTACTACTCCTTGCCAGCCCCACCTTCTCATTTTCAGGCAGTCCCTCGCATTCATGATTGGTTGCTCAACACCCTGGAAACAAGTTGATGGCTATCTGACTCTTCCACCTGGACAATTCTGAGAGGCCAATGGCAATCTTGCCTTCTTCCTCTGCCTCCTTCAGACTGAGCTGAAGGGCTTTCTGCAGTGACAGTGAGCAACAACCATTAGTCACAGGCTTACCTCCTTTAACAAAAGACAGTGGAGCCTTTGTCAGTAGTGAAAATGCTACAACACGTGGCCTTGTCTGTGTCACAGAGTCATCTAAGTTTTTGCTTTCATTTTGCACAGTTCTAACCCCGCCCCAAATTCTTCCCCCATCAAGTTCATGTTCAAGTCTATCTCTTTCCTCTCATGTTTTACTATAAGCAGGAAGGAGAAACCAGCCAGCCCCAAGATCTTGCTCAGGCTTCTCGTCGGCCAAATATCCAAGTTCGTCACTCCCAAGCAGGGCTTCCAACCAGTTTTAAAACAGAGCAGTGGTTGCTGCTGTAACCATGCACGCACGGTATTGGTATGCCTTTGGTGTTTTGATCTGAGTAGGAAACAAGCAACTGTGGTCCACACAAAGACGTGTTGCTCTCTAGAACCTAGCCAATAATATGCTGCTCTCCAAAAGTCCCTTCGCAGTCCTTCCCTGTGTCTGGCATTCACCATCTTCATGCCCCCCGGCCGGTACATTTGAGGTCATAACTACTGTGACACTAATACACCTCACCAAGGATTTCCCCGATCTTCTCTTTCACCTGTCACACTGTCCCTTTCTTGATGATGTCCAAAGCAGGCAAGCCAGAGTCTGTGTTGGTTGTGTTCTGCTAGGCAGCCTTGAGTTGTCTCTGACTCAGAGTGACCCTACTACGTGCAGCAGAGCAGAACTCTGCCTGTTCCTACGCCGTCCTCACCATTTCGACTCCGCAGGAGAGTTACAGTTACTGGGTCCGCGCAGACGGCTGGGGGCCGCCCTCAGTCCCAAGGCGCATGCTGGCTGCATTTCTTCCAAGACTGACTCGCGTGTCCTACCGGCAGTCCATGGTAGATCAATATTCTTCACCAATACTACTACTACAATAAGCAAGACGGTATTACTTATATGATAGACACTGTCTTTTTATTACTATACGGTAGTATATAATTCACATAATCGTGATCTCTTGTTATAAGTAATATTACAAGCCATCATTACCCCGAGTACATGTTTACACGGTGCACACTGTGGGCCTGGTAAGGAGCCAGGTGTTCTCTTGTGCTGTCTCAGCCTGAATCCTTTGCTCTGAGGGGTGTGGGAGGGCGCCAGCTGAGTGTGTGGCTGTGGGATTGCACAGCACTGCCTGCTCCCCCAGAACTGAGTCCTCTCCACCTTGGAGTTTCTGTGCTCCCTGGCCTTCCGGCAGATCCACGTCACTGGAATCTATTGTAAGAGGATGATGGTCCTGGGGTGGGGGAGAGAAATGGACTCAAGTGGACAGATCCCTCATAATGGCATACAAAGTGTTCTGTTAATGGAGTAGATAAAAGGGATTCTGGGAAAGGAGAGATGAAAAGGAAACATATAATAAGTGTCCCCACAAAACAAATGCTTAAAAGAGGGTTAAGGCTGAAGATTGTGGATGTTAAGAATCAACTTTGCTGGACTGTATTTCCATTACCGAGCCAGAAAGAGCCACTGAAATCATACAGAGATCATTATAATTGAATAATATATTATATAGAAAGGGCATAAGCACAGGGCCAACCAATAGCAAGTGCTCAACTGATCTTAGTGCTAACGGCATGTCCCACGGCAGCCAATGGGACTCTGAAATGATGTGGCTTATTTTCTTGCCTATGGTGGACAACAATGTCTTTCCAAAGCATCCTACAATTGCTGAGAAAAGGTTTGGTGGCTAAGCCATGGAGCTAATTTCTATTTGTTCTGTGACTCTAGACTGCATGATTCCAGTAAGAGTGAAAAGAGAAGACCAGAAAATCAACCAGGGAGATGATGGTGGATCCCAAACAGCTGCCATCAAACTCCTTCTCTGACTGTGCCAGCATGTTGTTCTCTGCATTGAGAAAGGAAGTCTAGGAGCCCAGTGATGCAGTGCGAGTGCTGGGCTGAAAGGCGAGTGCTGTCTGGATCCAGCACTCCGTGGGAGGAAGACGACGCAGCCAGTCTCCTGTCCAGATTACAGCCTTACACAGTCGATGGCAGGCTGGAGTGGGTTGGAACTGCCCCGATGGGAGATGGTTTGATTTGGGATTTTTTTTAATCTAGTTGTTTTTTTTTTAAAATTTATTTTATTTCATTATTTTGTGTGTGTACCGTCAAATCAGATCTGACTGGTACAGGAGGAGATTGTTCCTCCTTCTCCAGCAGAGCATCTGGTGGATTCGAACCGTGCACCTCTGAGATTGCAGTGCAGCTTCTTGCCACTAGGCCACTAATCTAGTTTTTTGACTTGCTTCAACAATGTTGTTGTTGTTGATTGCCTTTGAGTCGAGCACGACTCATAGCGACCCTATGAACAAAAGACCTGAAGCCCCTCTACAACTATCGACATTTATCAAAGTTCATAGAGTTTCCGGAGGCAATTTGTTCAACAATAGGATGTAGCAAAAGAGACACTGGGCTAGCTGGGGCCTTTAAAGAAGCTCAACTCTGGAGGCTAGAATTCAGTCACAACGCAAAAATGTACTCTGTTATTCCGAGACCAGTCTTGATGGCACCTAACAATAAAAGCCTCAGCACAGAGCTACGTTGGCCTAGTGGAAAGGAAGTTATGCAACCAAGCCCAAGGTGGGTGATCTTAATCTGCGGCCCTCAGGCCAGGTTTAAATTGTTTTTTGTCAAACATTCTTCTAGGTGGTGTAGAACTGGTCTGTGCATTGCTGTACAGAGGTATCTCCTGGCTGTTGTGACACTATATATATATTGTGACATTGATGTGTCAAATGTGATAATGGTCACCCCTGGTGGACAGTGTTTGGTGGAGCTCCCTGATTAAAACAAGCTTGGAAGGAGGAGTGGCATCCACTTCTGAAATTGCTTGCCTCTGGAACCTCTATGAACAGTGCTCAGGTCTTTTGTTCATAGGGTCGCTACGAGTCCTCTATGACTCAACGACACCTAACAACAATAACAGCCACACACAGAGAGAGCTATGTTGGCCTAGTGGACAGAAAGTTATGCTACCAAGTCCAAGGTGGGTGATTTTAATCTGCAGCCCTCAGGCCTGGTTTAAATTGTTTTTTTTTGTCAAACATTCTTCTAAGCAGTACAGCACTGGTCTGTCCACTTGCTGTACAGAGGTCACTCGTGGTTGCCGTGAAGCTGAGCACTGTGACACTGATGTGTCAAATGTGATAACAGTTACCCATGGTGGACACAGTGTTTGGTGGAGCTTCCCGATTAAAACAAGCTTGGCAATAAAAAGTATCACACCTGAAAAAAAAACAACAACAACCAAAAAACAAGCTTGGAAGCAGGAGCAGCGTCCACTTCCGAAACGGCTTGCCCCCAGAAACTCTATGAACAGTGTTCACGTCTTTTGTTCAGAGGATTGCTAAGGGTTGTCTACGACTCAATGGCACCTAACAACAACAACGACAACATTCTGAGATCTCCATATTGTTAGGAAGTCCAAGCCAGCCATGTGGAGGGGTCATGTGGAGACATGCTTGGTCAGGGTTTAGGTGGCCCAGTTGTGAAGCCAAACATATGAATGAAGAAGGCATCTTAGATATTTCAATCCAAGTGTACACCACGAGGACCAGAGTATCTGTCCAGTTAACCCTCATCGAGATTGGAGAAT